CACGACCAAAGCTATTAATATCCGAAAACACTAACAAACTCTGACGTTTTTACAGCAGTGGCATTACGGGATTAAAATAGTGCGGTTCAGTCCCATTGGGCCAAATGAAAATGTGCAAGAGGAGACAGGAGGAGGAGATAAAGGACCTTGTATCAGTGTGAGGGGATAGAAAGAGGGGGCCAATGGATGCTAATGTATTCTAGGAAAGTTTGCGGCGAGGAGAAGACGCTATAAAAACTATAAAAAGATAGCACATGACATACTGGCTGTGTTAAATATTATTCTTGTTCATATATTACTTAGCTGTCTTTCTGTTTATCACATTTCCAAGGACTATAGTTATTTAGTAAGTATAGGTTTTAAATGTGCGCTGGAACGTTTCTGGAAGAGGGGACGATAACTGTTTGTCTCTGTGGAGAAGCTAGTGCTTGTTTCATAGTGTGGCATTACTATTATCTATCTCCATGGAGACAAACAAGTGCTGTACCCTCTTCTAGAAATGTTAAGGTGCACATTTAAAACCTATACTTACTCAATAAGTAAATATAGGTTTTAAATGTGTTTGTCTCCATGGAGGATCTTTATTCAGAATGCTTTATCCAGAATGTTTCATAGTATGGCATTAACATTATCAATCTCCATGGAGACAAACAAGCGCTGTATCCTCTTCCAGAAATGTCACACTGCACATTTAAAACCTATACTTACTAAATAAGTAGGTAAATGTCTTTGTCTCCATGGAGAATCTAGTGCTTTATCCAGAATGTTTCACAGTATGACATTATCTCCACGGAGACAAACAAGTGCCGTATTTTGTCCAGAAATGTTACAGTGCACATTTAAAACTTATACTTGCTAAATAATTAAGTATAGGTTTTATGTGTGTTTGTCTCCATGGAGAATCTAGTGCTTTATCTAGAATGGTTCATAGTATGGCATTACTTTTATTAATCTCCATGGAGACAAACAGGTGCTTTATCCTCTTCCAGAAATGTTACAATGCACATTTAAAAAACTTATACTTACTCAATAAATAAGTATAGGTTTTAAATGTGTTCATTTCCATGGAGAATCTAGTGCTTTATCCAGAATGTTTCATAGTATGGTATTACTTTTTTACTTTTTTTTGCGCCATCGGCTCCTCCAACCACCACCATCACCCACGCACACTCGAATTTCATACTAGGCAATGTGGGTGAAGTCTCTTGCCCAAAGACACAACAGCAGTTTTTGCGACTTGCACCCACATTGGCACCTGATTTTCCCAGTGTCTCCCATCCAAGTACTAACCAGGCCCAGACCTGCTGAGCTTCTGAAATCTGACGGGATCAGGCTTTGACAAGCCGGTATAGCCACAATAAGCGGTATAGCATAATGCCTGAAATAAAACTAACCTTGCATCGTATCAACTGTCGCATGTTGAGGGACTATTTTCTCAGCAGCAGCAGAATTTTACTTTGCCTGTGAGATAGGTACTAGATCAGGGGTGTCAAACTCATTTTGGTCTGGGGGCCGTATCCAACCTACTTTGATCCCTAAGGGGCCGGATCAGAAAACTCATGTCATATAAACCCCAAAAATAACAATAAGTTCAAATATTTGTGCAGAGAAACACAAATCTATTATCTTTTTAATTGATGAACTTTTTTCTTTTACAAAATTTTATAATATTTATCAACAACCTGAAACTTTAAAAAAAATTTCAACACAATGTTTTAACATGAACTTGTTTTACATTAACTTGTATAAATAGGAAATAAGTAAATTTTTCTTGGAAAATCCTGCACTCGGCTCCACTTTTCTCATTTTGGACATTTTTCTGATGAGGGTGTCACGGTCAACAGTCAAAACAATCGTCCTTTAAGAGCGTTTGGAAAGAGACAAGTCTTCATTTGTGCTGCTCTGGTGGGAGGGGCCACGTACAGAGATGCTGGAGACGCTGCTGTGATAAACACCACAGAAAATTAACAATATTTTAATAAAAAATAGAATTAAAATATTTTTGTAGAAAATTAGCCAAGGGCCAGATTAAAGGTCTTGGAGGGCCGGATTTGTCCCCCGGGCCGCATGTTTGACACCTGTGTACTAGATGATATCAGTCCATCATGTGTTCAGAGATCAGACATGTGCAGGTTTAGTGCAGCTCTTTATTTAAAAGTCATTTCACTCACTTTATGTTGGTCAGTTTATTTATGTTGGCTCCTGTTGCAATGGAAAGACTGAAAAGTGTTTCTCTTTTGGACGCATGTGCACTCAACTTTATGTTGCAGTAACCGGGACACTGCGTTTACATGCACCATGACGAAACCGGGATACTTAAAAACCCGATCATACCCGGGACACTGATGTGCACGGACTTGCTGAGTGGTACAGTGATCTCCAAGGAGGTGCCAGAGCCGAAACGTGGGACTGTGACAGACGCAGCCTTGTCTCCTTATACTACACTACGCATGGCAATCTACATTCAGTTTGTCGATTAAAAATGAACATAATCGACAAAATTCGGAATGATCAATTTGATGATCAGTTAGTCGACTAATCATGCCCATCCCTAGTTCTGATAACCACAATTTATATGTATACAAATGCCACTTTTAGGCTGCCATAGACTTGATTGCAATGACTTTTATGCCAACTCTGGATCTTTTATTTTGGCCCAGATTTATGCAAGATGCCCTCCCATCCATATATACAGTGTGTTATTACATATGTTAAGAAAAAATGTAGAAAACAGCGCTTCGCCATTACAATATGTGGTCTTTTTTCCAGGCCAATTTATGCAAACATCATACACACAACAGCTAGTCACGTGGCCTTATACTGCACGCTGCAAATAAACGAGGCTCCATTGTACATGTTTTGAGCTGTAGTATTCTTTGTATGGCCAGGGGCACTAGATTAAATAAAATACTAAAAAAAAACCTCTACAAACCACAAAAGGTTTCATTTTTTCCAACCCACATTTCACTATTCTATTCAAGTTGGTTTAGTGCAATCTGCTCTCCACAAAAGGCTGTTCAAGGACAATGAGCGTTTTAAACACCCCATTGCCTCAAACTAGTTTTAAAACTTTTACAATCATTATTCTTCAGATTGTCTGCCTCCTGTTTCTGTAACTTCTCCCATTTACCTCCAATAGCTCCTTACTGTGTGATTTATTACCACCTGCGCACTGTAAAAAGCCGGAGAAATGAGGCTTTTACTTTGGTTCATGTGACATCATAACAAGAACGCTCAGGGTTTAAAGAGGGGGTGTAAGCGGAATTGACTTTTCGGAGACTTCTGCCATGTTATAATGTTGTTATCTCATCGAAAAGTGGTTTTATACGTCATCCGTGCATGTTTGAGTAATCTAGCGATCTCTCCTGAGCCCAAATCGAACCCCTGCTTATGTTTAGCAGCACGATTTAGTCCAGAGCTCGAAATTTTTTCATAAATATACAAAAGCAGGATATGAAACAATGTACTACAACTTCACAAACCTGATATGATGTGCAGTAGTTCAGTGGAATGCCTGTGTGATTGTGTTGTGTTGCGCTCTGAAGGGGGAGTGGGTGAAACTGAGACTAATTAAACATGTAAATATGTAACACAGTGACCTAATTATGTAATGTGTTAGCAATTAACACACCAACAAAGTGTAGCACCTCCTTTTTTTTTTCAATTTAAGCTGGAGGGTAGGTCAGAATTGTGTGGTAGAATTTGCCTTTTGCCGGTCAAATCTGGTTAATGGTACCAAAAAAATAAAAAATGAAAAAATAGACAACTAGTTCAAAATGCTCTCAGTCAGTGCAATTGAACTTCTGCAGTTTTTGTTGTTGTGTTTTTTTTTAATAGGCTCAAAAAAAGAGTGTAATATTCAATCACAAAAGCATCACTGTTGAACTTTAGTACCTAAGACGTCACATTTGTCAAACCAATCTTTTCTCAAATATAATGATGAGGGGTGTAACGGTACATGTATTCATGCCAAACTTGTTTTGTTACGGGAAGTTCAATTCGGTGCAGGGCTGTGTCCAAGTGAGTTTGTCCAATTTGTGTGTGTTTACATTCCGACACTATACCTGTGACCTCTGTCCCTTGTCGCAGATCTGCATTTACAGCAGACGATGAGGACAAGTTGTTTTTTCTGGACAAAAATATGAAAATTGAGAAAAACTTCATCCTGGAACTGTTAGTGCTGCTCTTTACTTTTTTGAAAAGTTTTGTTTAACTGTTTACAAGGAATTTATTTATTTTTTTAAATGTTTCTTACATTTGTTGCTTATTTGAGAATATTTGATTTAACTTATTACTATTACCAAGCAGCACTTTGCATTTATTTTATTTTCTATATATGTATAAAGTTAAATAAATTGTTAGTTTAATAAAAACACAAATAAACAACATGCAAATTAACCGAACCGTGAGCTCAAAACCGAGGTACGTATCGAACCATGATTTTTGTACTGTTACACCCCTAGTAATGATAATGTTCTGTTGTCTATTTTCTGTCTTTCTTAATACAAAAAAATGCCCACAGAGTTTCAGTACACAGGCCGTTGCCATCCAGCTGAAACTATACTTATTTATGATATTCCAGAGGAGTATTTCTCAAGCATTTGACACAATGTACTGCCAGAAAAGATTTCCAAGAAACACCAGACTTAGACCCGATCTTTAACAGGACTATTTCAGGTCTAAACCAGGTCTAGAACTGGACTATACCATGACTACAACACAACCAAGAAACAACCAATAAATACAACAAGCAGGACAAAATAAATCTAACCCCTAATAAAAATTAGTCTAAATTCAGCAAAACACTAAATCTGAAGAGTGTTTATGTACCACCAGATGCCATTCACATACCAACAGTTGTAGGCATACCACAATTTGAGAACCATTGTTATAACACTGTCATAGATGCAAAATATTTACTAGTATATATAGATCAGTTCCATTCAGTTTATTTGCCATTTGCAGTATAAAAAAAACACATTGGAAAAAGGGTTCCTTACCTTGCCGACGTACTGTGGATCGGACCCCATGTACTCCTCCAACACGAAGAACTGGTTCCAGACCCACCCACGCTTGACCCGCTGCATGGCCCCCGACACCCCATTCTTGGCCGGGGTCCTGGGCTTGGCCGGTCCCCCCCTGACCCGGTTCGACAGTGGGGTGGTGGGCAGCCGCAAACTGGAGATCTCGTGGGACAGAATCCAGAGGAACAGTAGCAGGCAGTTCCTTGTTAGCATTGGGTGATCCGTAGGGTGCCCGTCCCCGAAATGAAGTGTGCTAGTGACGCCAAGAGAGCCACGTTGGAGGATGGTGGGGACAAAATGGTCGACAGGTGAATTGGAGAAAAAAACAGGACAAAGAGAGAGAAAAGGGGGAATGACCCAGGGCAGATGTGGCAGCAGAAGTGAAGGATTGGAGTCAAGTTCTTGCGGAGATCATCACCTGGAAAACAAGAAATGAAAGTTTAAAACAGTTTCAAGTCGGGGTGTAACGGTACATGTACCTTATTTTGCACACTATGAGGCACAATCCAACCCCATCAAAAAACGATTATGCGCCCCAAAATACAGAGTGCCCTATACACGAATCCACTCGGGTGTCCCAGCACGACTTGAGTAAACTACAAAGCCGCACCACCCACAGAACAAACACACACGGAGCAGACAACGACCACGCAGCGAAAAACACCCGCAGTCACACTCATCACTCCGCGCCGACGAAGAACGGAACGGAGGAACGGGCCGAAAAAGCGAGTGCAATGTGCCACTTCTAGCCACAACTGAACAACTGAGTCACTGCGAACACGCCGACAATCCAGCGGTCCCAGACAGCACCCTCCCTACACGCCACAACTGAACAAAGCCCAGAGTCACCGTGAACGTGCCAAACAAAGCCCCACTGACCCATCCAACTGTTGCGTGTTTCATTCAATACTCCTTAAAGTCCGGTGAGGTTTATGTGTAATAAGTTTGAAAATAGACCATTCAATGACAGTGCGCCTTATAATCCAGAGCGCCCTATAGTGCTTAAAATACAGTATTTGTGCAGAACTATTTCGATATGGGACGTTTGGCTCGGTGCAGGGCTGTGCATGAGAGAATTCATGCAATTTGTGTGTGTTTACATTTCGCCACTACATGTGCAGCTACACGGAGGGTTGACTCTTTAAAATTCACAAGAAAACTCGTCCGTGATTGGGGTGGCAGTGTTTCCCACAGCGCTTTATCGTTAGGGCGCCCACCTTCACAACAATTGCCTCCCGCCTTGACTATGTCCCTTGAATCCTCTCAAAACTCGCCGGCACAGAATCTACACCATTCTGTTTCCATACTGTACTGAAAATGAACCGAACTGTGACCTCGACACTGAACCTGTGTTATAATTTTTGTGAATTTTGTGTGATTTTTGTGTTATAATCCTAGTTTCAAGGTCCTATATTACGCACAATTGACACTTGTGAGGTTTTAGCCATGTTTTAATGTTGATACCTCCTCAAAAACAGACCTGGAGTTGTGGTTTGTTTTCATTCATACATGTTTGAGTAACTCTTTATTATTAAAAGCTTATACCAGGGGTGTCCAAACTTTTTTCATCAAAGGCCACATAGACAAAGAACACAGATGAAGCAGAGGGCTGATCGAGGGCCGTAGACTGGAGCTCAATACAGTGAATAATTGAAATGTGTGCATGTTTAACGCATTAAAATGAGCCATCAGTCTTCATTCATGCTAAGATCCTTAAAACAACACACTAAATATTAAATATTAGCTTTACCAAGGTAGATTTTCAGAAAACTTGCAGTAAAAAGTTAATTGAGGGCCGCATTTGACCCACGGGCCGTAGTTTGGACAAGCCTGTTTTAAATTGTGTGTGACTTTGTGACGTCATGTAGTTATAGTTTTCAGCTACTTTTTGCCTTTTGCTTACTAGAGACTGTAAATTCCAGGGTTGAAATGATCCAAATGAGTCTAGTGAAGGTATATGGAGTTTAAAAACACAGAGGAGCGCTTCTTTTTTCTTCTACTGACATGACATCACAAGGTGGAACAGAGAACTCAGCCTAAATCTGCAGGGTTTGTGTGTTAAAAATGTGTGAATAAGGTATGTTCGTGATAAAGAAGCAACATTATAACATAGATCACAAAACACAGCAAAATAGGTCTGTTCACAAATCAAAAATCAGTTCTTTTTTCGACTGTATTTGGAAACACAATATATGGCTTGACAAAATGACAGAATTCACTGTCCTTGCTTTGACTAACTAAAGTAGAATGAATAGTTTTGTGAATATGATATCATAATTAATAAGGTTGTTGTTTTACTAGAATGACATTTGCAGTAATATTAAAACGTCGGATGCATTCACAAGCACAGTACATCAAAATATCGACTAAAATCCACCAAAAACTCCAACTACACGTCACCTGACCAGAACTAAACCAGGACTAGACAAGCACCAAACCACGTCTACAAAACATTTACCTCAAAAAGAAAAAGTATTCAAGTTAGATCAATGTTTTGGGTCGTGACTGGACAAAAAGTTTGTTGTCGAGAGGAGTATAAAAGTTGCAATGAAATGCTTTTTCTTGCAGTCTGAAATAATTTTGCACTTTCAGCAATTCGGGAAAAGTTTAATGATACAACTAAATGGGAAGGAAGGCAGTTCTTTGTTCTTTGGTTTGCACTGTTTCATTTTCATGGACTGCTGAAAATTTGACAATGTGAGAAAATAAAGGAAAATATTTGAGGAAGAGAACTTTTTCGGGATTAACTCCTGCTGTTTGCTCCAACAAAACCTCCTCTGTGAAATTTGAAATTTCCCCATGAAAATGAAAATAGTGGAATCAATTCGACTACAGCAGCTGTTTTCCTTGTTCTGCTGGTTCTGTTGCTCGTTAGGTTGGTTATGTGTTTTATACCTTCTTAAAGGGCCTGTACTAGAGTTTTCCCCATTTATTTGAGTAAAAATTCTCCCAGCTGCCCCAGTTAAAGCTGTGCAATTAATTGAATTTTGATCGTGATTCAATTTGTGTGTCCAAAGTCATATAATCAAGTAGATTTTTTTAATATAGAGATGGAACAGCTGGATATATAGTTTATTTTGGATACATTTATGTTTTTTATGTCTTATTTCATGTTGAAAGTGTTTTATTTTTTTCATTTTCTGTTTTACACATCGCAAAACTGCTCTACATGTAGCCTATATTTATTTTCAGTTTGAAAGTTTTGCGTAAATTATCAATAACAAAGTGTTTTTTTGAGAGAGAAATGCAGAGTAAATGCATCATATAACTAAAAAATAATCGTTTGAATAAGCATGATTTCAGTATTGACCAAAATCGTGATAATGATTTTTTTTTTTTCCCATAATGGAGCAGCTCTTGTCCCACTGCAGATTTATTGTATAAGCTTCTCTTGAGGTCAAATAAGTCCATCCATAACTGTCGGTCTAATAAGAAAGAGTTTTATTGTCAGAGAATCAGGAAGTGCATGTTAGCATACTAGTTGTGGTTAGCTTTACTGTCATGGCAAGTTGTAAAACATGCTTACATATTTATCGTAGTGCAGAGGTTTTCGATATGTGAGACCTGCCTGTGGGACACTGGGGAGGGCCGACACACACAAAGAAAAAAATAACAGTCCATATCTGTACACATTTATAACAGTATTGATGTTGGTAATTGTGCGTGTGTGTATTCGCTGTAAAATTATGTTGCCGTGACAATCTTCTCATAGTTTGGAGCGCCATCTTTTTTGCACAGTTTAGGCCGCGTGGACCACACCTCCTCCCATACGCCACGTGGACCATGTTTTCTCTCGTACGTTCCGTCTAAACCAGAAGTAAAATCAGAACTAAAACCAGATATAAACCAGGTCTAAACCAGGATTTAACCAGGATTGAAACCAGGTTTAAACCAGAATTAAAACCAGGACTAAAATCTGGATTAAAACCAGGACTAAACCAGAACTAAAACCAAAACTAAACCAGGACTAAAACCAGGTCTAAACCAAGACAAAAACCATGACTATACCAGGACTAAAGCCAGGTCTAAACCAGGTCTAAATCAGGTCTAAACCAGGATTAAAACCAGGTCTAAACCAGAATTAAAACCAGGACTAAAATCTGGATTAAAACTAGGACTAAACCAGGACTAAAACCAGGTCTAAACCAAGACTAAATCCATGAGTATACCAGGACTAAGACCAGGACTAAACCAAGACTAAAACCATGACTATACCAGGAGTAAAACCAGGATTATACCAGGTCTAAAACCAGGTCTAAACCAGGACTAAAACCATGACTATGCCAGGACTAAAACCAGGCCTAAACCAGGACTAAAACCAGGTCTAAACCAGGCCTAAACCAGGACTAAAACCAGGTCTAAACCAGGACTAAAACCAGGTCTATACCAGGATTTAAACTCTAAGGGGAGTCTTACATTCACCCCCTGTCGTAGTGAATAATTAGGATGCTCAGAATTTATAAGGTAAGTGAGGAATAACTTGGACCACTGCAAACCGTTTTAAATAAACTAATTCATTTTTAAAGACAGTAAAAACTCAGGTAGAGCGCCTTTAAGTCCCGTCTGAAACCGGTTTAGCCCCGTTTGGTTCTCCAGTATTAAAAATGTGTGAGAAAAGTTCATGAAAAGTAGCCTATGTATTACGGGAAGTTCATATGTTCTTGGTTTTCACTTCTGGACGCACTAAAATGTCAGAAATGTTCCCGGATTTTCATTTTGTCCCCCGCTGGGAGAGTTTAGGCTAATGGGGCCGAGGTGACTAACGGCTCTGCCACCGCTCCGCTCAGATCAGGACAAACCATTGAATCTCTAATGATCCTCAGGTACAGCAGGTCCCAGCCTCCCTCTGCCCCTTCCTCTGCCTTCGTCTTCCTTCCTCTATGTCACTGCTCTGCCTCAAATGTCCCACAGTGTGACATTAAACAGCTCTACTTTGCATTTATTAAATTACAGGTGGTTCTATAGCTCAAAAATACCTAGAAAAACAGACATCCTGACTGTGACTGTGGGGTGCCTCTCCACAGATCTGACTTGTAACTTGGTCTGGTTTGGTCTCCATGAAGATAGAAAGATTTAATACCGTACTGTGAAACATTTCTAGGGAGTTCGCCTGATAACGTGTGAAAAAACATATTAAATCGTGACCTCAAATGATTTTTTATATCATTATTATTATTATTTATTTTCCCGCAACATGTAATTAAGTTTCCACA